GGCTCCAGGCAGAAAGACCCCCCGGCCGGGGACCCAGGGCTCGAGTGCAAAGGCGAGCGCAGCCGGTGCAGGGGGCTCCCGCAGCCATCGGTCACCTGGGGGAAGGGCAGCCGCTCACCGAGAATCCTCTTCCCTTACCGGAAGGCCTGGGAGACTTTCACCCCCTAAACTTCACGGAGCCACCTAGGTGGGGAGCCCGGACTCCTGGGTCTTTCTGGAGCCTGGCGGGAGGGTTTCTTCGTGCCCTGGGGCCGAGGGGTGGCTGGGCAGTGAGACTGGGAAAGGAGAGCTTTGAGCCACATGGGCTGGGGTTGAATTCCACCTCCTTCACTTACTGTCTGACTTTGTTACTGAACCTCTCAGGGTCTCAGTGTCCTCATCTGTGAGATGGGGTTAATAATACCTTCTCTTTAAAAGGATGAAATGAACCAGAAGTGAAGTGGAGCTAAAGCTTGTTAGCATTACTGCGTTAGATGTCTGGGGTGCAGTTTCCCTGGAAGAGCATTGAGGCGGGATTATACAACAGTAAGAAGGGTAGGTGGTGGATGTGTTTGTGTGGGTTGCTCCAACCTTGCCTCCGGGCCCATCAGAGCCTTCACCATCCTCGGCGGAGCTGGCACTGTCCCGAAGCCTGGAGCGAGAGGGTCGGTGTCTCCGGCCCTTGGCCAGCAGTTGGGCCCTGGCTTTGTGTAAACTGCTGTCCAGTCTGGTGGTCTCTGGCACAGCCAAGTCCAGGTCTGCGAAAGGGGTGGAAGGGGCAGAGACCAGATCCATGAGACGACCAGCCCAGAGGCCCACCTCAAGCAGCCTCCCATACTCACAGCCCAACATTCAACCAGTGTTTCCAAGTACCAGGCACTGGGAGTACAGACGAGATGAAAAACAGGGACTCTCACAGTTTCGGGGCAGCCAGACGTGTCCCCACATAAATACGGCACAGTGTGATGAAGCTTCATGTGGGCACAGAGGAAGACAGGACAACCCTGTTTGGATGGGTCAGAGGAGGAAACACCAGAGCAGGGTCAGGACTGGGTGGGAGTTTACAAGAGATGAGGTTGGTGAGACTGGCATATGTAATACTAGGCAAGCAAGGGGTGGCCCCTCTAGGGACAGTTGGAGGATAGCTTTGTGGAGAGAAGGGCTGGGGGATGAGGCTGGAGAGATCATGCTAATAATGACTACCATTTAAGAAGCACATACTAGCACCAGATGATGTACATATGTTACTTAGAACAAACGGGTGGGGTCAGGACAGCTATTACGCACATTTTACAGCTGAGCAAACTGAAGCTCAGAGATGTTAAGTCACTTGACTAAAGCCACCAGCTAGCAGTACTCCAGGATTTGAGCCTGGCTAGTCTGGTTCCAGAGACTGGCCCAAATGGGGACACTGGCTTGCTGTGCCACTCTCAGGGTCACACTCAGAGGGAACACTGCTGAGCATCTAGAGGGCTCGCAGTTGAAGTGGCCCAGAGGGACCTCCACAAGCCAGTGGCAGTGGCAGGAAGGAAAGTCCCACAGTCCTCTGAAGCCTATTTCTCCTGTCCTGGAGTCTGTGGCCCAATTCTAGGTCCTGCATGAGGACACGGAGGAAGAGCAGGCAAACCCAACAGTGCCTGCGTAAAACCCTTATTGCTCATAGCCGTACATTTCATGTGCTCCACCTGGGAATGAAGCCCTCACTCTGTACTGACCCTGAGCTTTGCACTGAGGTCTCTAAACAGAAAAGATTTTTCCCAGGCTCTGGGAGGGTCAAGATCTTTCTTCCCCAGTCCACCCCCTGTGATCTTGGGGACACCCATTCCATCATTTGTGCCTACCTTGCCTTGTCTGCTCTGCTCTCTTACCTGCAGACGCCCACTAAGCCACCCCACTTGCTCTCCTGGCTTAACTACCACCTATGTCTAGTTCCAGCCCTGACCCCTCCCTTGAATTCCAAGCCTGGGCACTCAGGTACCTTCCAGGGAACTTGCAACGTCAAAGGCCCCCAGGCACCTCAAACTCAACCCATCAATATGAACCCATTACCTTGCCTCAAACTTGCTTCTGCTCTCTTCCCTGACTCAGTGAAAGACCCCATTGTCTACCCAAGTTACCCAAGTCAGACAGCTCCGACCTACCCTTCTCCGGCCCCAGACCTAGTTGCTAATTCATGTGTCCAGCTGTCTGCTTGATACCTGGTGGAGTCTGGATGTTTTGTCCCCTCCAAAAACTCATGTGGAAATTTGATCTCCAATGTGGCAGTGCTGGAAACTGATTGAGTCATGGGGGCGGATCCCTCATGAGTGGATTAATGCTCTCCCTGGGGGAGGGGGGATTAATGAGTGAGTTCTTGCTCTATTAGTTCCCACGAGAGCTCGTTGCTTAAAAAGACCCTGGCACCTTCTCTCTCTCTCTCTTGCTTCCTCTCACCATGTGATCTGCTTGTACCCACCGGCTGCCTGCCACTTTCCACCATGAGTAGAAGCAGCCTGAGGCCCGTGCCAGATGCAGCTGTCCCAGAATCGTAAGCCAAATAAACCTCTTTTCCTTATAAATTACCCAGTCTCAGGCATTTCTGTTATAGCGACACAAGACAGACTAAAACAACACCTCAAATTGGATGTCCAATGGGCATCTTCAACTTACATGAACTGTAATAACTGAACTCCTGACTCCCACCCCACAGGCTGCTCCTCCCAGTTTTCCTTCCCGTCTTGGTAAATGGCAGCTCCATCCTTCCAGCTTCTGGGGCCAGACGCCTAGAATCTTCCTTGATTTGTTTCCCTCCCATCCTACAAACCAATCTGTGCACAATTCCTGTGGGTTCTACTTTGGAAATATATCTAGACATACTGAAATATTTATGATGAAGTGATAAGATGCTTTGGATCAGGTTCAAACTAATCCAGAGTAATAGAGGTGGAGAGTGGAAGGGGATATGCCATCAAAGACCGCATAACGACGTTTTGGTCAACCAGGGACCGCGTATAGGACAGTAGTCCCATGAGATTATGATGGGGCTGGGGCGTGTGGTAGGCTGTACCATCTAGGTAAGTGTAAGTACACTCTATGATGTTCACACAACAAAATCGCCTAACGATGCACTGTTCAGAACGTATCCCCATTGTTAAGTGCCGAACCACTGTCTAGGAAACAAGACTGGCCGTGAGTCGGTAATCGCTGAGGCCGGTGACAAGTACATGAACACACGATGGAGCACACTGTGCTTCTCTCTCTACGTTTGAACACACTTGAGATTTTCCACAATAGAATGTTGTTTGTGAGTGTGAGTGTATATACACACTCATGTACATGCACACATATGGAAGGAGAGAGAGAGGCGGGGGGGGAGGGAAGTGGAGAGGGACAACTTCTCACAACTGCCCTGGTCTTGGTCACCATCATCTCCTGCCTCAAGTATTACAGAAAGTCCCCTCGCTGGTCTTTCTCCTCCCTTTCCCGTTTACAGTCTGTTTTCAATGCAGCAGCCAGAGTGATCCTAACAAAGCATGTCAGCTCATGTCACTCCTCTGCTCAGAACCCTCCGGTGACTTCCATTTCATGCAGAGTAAGAGCCGAAGTTCTCCCAGTTGCCTTCCAGACTCAGGCTGTGTTCCCCTTACCTCTCTGAGCTTCTACGTCTCTCCCTGCACTCCAGCTCCTGGCTCCTGGCTCCTCCTCACACAGGCCCAGCCTTCACCTCAGGACCTTTGCACGTCCTCTTCCCTCTTCCTGCAAGCCTCTTGCCGTGGATTTCTTCATAGTTCTCCCTCACCTCCTGCAGGTCTTTGCTAAATGCTTTCTCTCATTGAGCCCTCCCCGACCACTCAATTTATAATACACCCCCACCATTCCAAATCCCCACTCCTGTGTTTTTCTATATCATTTATCACTCTGGCATACTATATATTATACTCATTTAGTTTATTGTCTCTTTCCACCCATTAGAATGTCCGCTCCATGGGCCGGCCTGTGGCTCACTCGGGAGAGTGCGGTGCTGATGGCACCAGGGCCACAGGTTCGGATCCCATATAGGGATGGCCGGTTTGCTCACTGGGTGAGCGTGGTGCTGACAACACCAAGTCAAGGGTTAAGATCCCCTTACTGGTCATCTTTTTTTTAAAAAAAAGAATGTCCGCTCCATGGGGACAGACTTTTCTCTGTTTTGTTCACTGCTCTATCACAGGCATAGAGCAGTGCCTGGCACACAGTGGGTGCTCAGTAAATACTACTGTAGTGAAAGAATAAAGTTCTGTGATTAGCCTTCCTCACACCATAGGAACTGGCCTCCCCTCTCCCTCCGGACTGAACTGCCTTAGCTCAGACCTTCTCCAGCTGCCCCCACCTCCTAGCCCCACAACCCAAAACGTGGCCTCAGCATCTATCCGTCCTTCACTCCCTGCCTCCCATCTGGCTGCCTCCCCACACCTTCCACAGGCTGGGAGAAACATCCTAAGGCACATTTCTGACCATGTCCTGTACTCTCCTGCTTTAAAAAACCTCTTGGGGGTGGAGGGTCCCAAAGCCAACAACATAAAGTCCATGCTCCTCCGCCCTCCACTCAAGGCCCGAGGGGACCAGCCTACGCTTTCTGGGATTCCCATAGGCTCCTCCTCCTACCTGCTCATATCTGGCACCGTGGTTAAGAGCATTGGCTCTGGAGCCAGATGGCACAGGCCCAATCCAGTTCTGCCACTTGCTGGCTGGGCAAGCCTGGGCGAGTTACTTACATTTAGGTATCTGCTTCCTCATCTGTAAAATGGGAACGTAATAGCAGCATCTTCCTTGTAGGATTGTTGTGAGTGTCACATAAGATGAACCATACCAAGTGCTTCACCATAATGCCCGTGACTTAGTAAGAGCTCAACGGGCACGCACTGTTGATGGTGTTGGTGGGAGCCACACTGAACTGCTCATCCTGACACCCGGTAGAGACCTAGACAGACACCCGACTGTACCTTGTTTCCCACCTCCATCCCTGTGCTCCGGCTGCTCTCTCTGCCCATCGCTCTCCAACCCTTTTTTGCCAGGCTAATCATTTCTTTTTTTTTTTTTTTGGTCTTTTGTCTTTTTCCGTGTCCGGCAACGGATTGCAACCCTCAGTGTTGCCCCCGTACCGGACCGGGGACCGGCAACGGGATCGCAACCCTCGGTGTTGCTCCCGTGCCTCGCTCAGCCAGTGAGCGGGAACCGGTCTGTATGTGGGATCCGAACCCTCGGGCGGGAGCGCCACCGGGCCGGCCCCAGGCTAATCATTTCTAATGCATCACCTCCTCTCCCGCTTTGGACAACAGCACCTCTTCAGGCCTCTGCACTATGCTGTGGTCGGGAGTGACTGCCTCCCGTGCCTGTCTGCACACTGCACAGGGTGAAGCCCTTCCCCACGCACCGTGTATCATGAGCCCCTGGCGCGGTGCCTGGCAGGGAGCAGGTGCTGAGTTGGGGTTGAAGCAAAATCACCCTTCCAGGTGCCAGTGCAGGAACTGACGTGAGTCATGTACAGGCACATGCCCATGTTCCGTCACATCCCACATTTTAATTCTCTGCACAGCACTCTTCACTATCTAATATGTGCCTTGTTTATTTACGTGGTCTTTTATTATCTGTGCCCCTGCACTAGAATTCAAGCTCCACAAAGACAGTGACTCTGTCTGGCTTGTTCACTGCTGTCCCCTGAGAGCCTAGAACAGCGCCTGGCACCTATTAGGAGCTCTATAAATATTTGTCAAATGGACAAAGAGGCAGAGAGTGACTG